TGATGGATTTCTTGTAGTAACTGATGTTAAAATATTATTTATTAGTTATTATTAATTTATTTTCATGTTAAATTGTTTATATTTAGACATTTATCAATCTACTAAACAATTTGTGTGCAAACTGTATTTAGTTGTTCCTGTTGGGAACAGCGCCCTCAACAGATGAGAGCTCGCAATATTGTGAGAAAAGGTTTTGACAGACCAGCATTTTACACACAAATTCTTTTAGTAGAAAACTAAATCTGATTTTGTTATAAAAAAAAAAACTACTGAGTTAGAGTCAGTCAAATACTACATGCATTAGTTGTTATATTTATAGGAAGCTAAATATTTTATTACTTTTTAGTTGTTTTTTTATGAGGTTAATTAATTTTAACATTCTAAACATATTTTTTAAATGAAATGTCTACTTCCCCCCTATTGGAATGGTACAGTCCATTTCCCATGCAAAACAAACATGCTTAGTGAATTAGTGTGTCATCATTTTCATGTGTCACATGACATGAAATGCAACACAGGACAATAGCAACTGAGAAAGCATGCACTTATACGACTACTGAGGCATTTATGCAATTATTAAATAAACATACAGCCATGCTTAACACAATGTGATAATTTATGCAATTTAGTTGTGAGGGAAAGTATTTGTGATTGGGTGATCAGTTTGTGAGAACAATTTTGGCGTGTATTGAACTTTTAGAATGAAAATGAAAATGAATTTTAATAAAGACATGCAAATAAAACATACAAAGGGGGCACAATTTTCATGCATTGTAAATAAATTTGATGTCATGCAATTCTGTACATTGTGTGAACATTAAAAATGCATCTCAACCAGTTAGAGCTGGTTTTGATCTAGTCCAGGCCAGTTTGAACTGGTTTTGATCTAGTCCAGGCCAGTTTGAACTGGTTTTAATCTAGTCCAGGCCAGATCTGGTTTTGATCAAGGATACACTAAATTTTCACTCTTTTATTATCTTTAATGTCTTTTTCAGTGGAATAATTTTGTAATTTCCTCTGACTATGAATTTTTGAAAGCGAATTTTCATTAAGTGTCAGACCACAGATAAATAAGATAAAAGTTTGCACCTTTCATAACTGCAAATCATTGAACACCATTGACAGTTGCAGTAGAGATTCAAAGTTTGTCAAAACAGAAATGAAGCCAAATTAAATCGAAATAAGATTCTATTTAAGGAGAAAGCATGAAATACGCAAGTACTGTACAATATGCTACTCATTATGCACTTCTAGAAATGCACATTTTTGTCAATATGACCCTTGGTGCATATCATATGTTGCAAACCATTATCTCTTTATCTATTAATGATCAGACACATCATCAAATTAAAAAACTTGACACAAGATGAATTACCAAATTAAAGTGGGAAGAGTGATATTAGAATAGTGGGCACTCATGAAGAGTGGTTCTCACAAACTGTATCAGGAAAACCGGGAATATTGGCACCTACATCATTGTGTTTGATCTTTGCTGCCTGCAGTTTAGGACGATACACAGAGAAATGAATTGGCGGCGGGTGGAGAAGGACAGCGAACATGAAATCATCGACGTCAAAACATGAAAAGAAAAAAATACAAGAAGTGCATGGAAGTGTTAAAATCGGGAAATATGGAATTCGATTTAAGCATATTGATTTGATAACAAACTGAAAGGAAAAGCTGGAAATTATGATAGGTGAACGATGCTGAAAGAAAATAGGAATTAAGATGTTGTTACAACTGCTAGAAAAGGACGGAAAAGATACTTATGATTGAAGGAAAATATGTGGCCAGTGGCAAAGATAGTGCATATCTATTTTTCATTGAGACAAATTAATTTTATATTCTTACAAGTGTTTTTTAAAAGGAATGAAATTGACATGACCAAGTGGGTAGACATGAAACTACTGGTACTCTAATAATAATAATGGATGCCATGAAATTGACATGCCTCAGTTAACCATGTCCATTAGCCATGAAACTGACATGTCATTAGCCATGAAACTGACAGTCTGGGAACTTATATAACTAACATGGCCATAGTCATGAAACTGACATGACCAGGTGGGTAGACATGAAACTACTGTGATGATAATAATGGATGCCATGAAATTGACATGCCTCAGTTAACCATGTCCATTAGCCATGAAACTGACATGTCATTAGCCATGAAACTGACAGTCTGGGAACTTGTATAACTAACATGGCCATAGTCATGAAACTGACATGACCAGGTGGGTAGACATGAAACTACTGTGATGATAATAATGGATGCCATTAAATTGAAATGCCTCAGTTAGCCATGAAACTGACAGTCTAGGAAGTAATATAACTAACATGGCCATAGTCATGAAACTGAAATTATAAAGCTAATGTCCAGGCAGTCCTGAAACTATCCTGACCTGACATATCAGGGTAGTCATGAAACTGTAATGACAGAGTAGTCATGAAACTGATATTGCAGATTGCAAGTTCTGAAACTGGCATTTCGGGTAGTCATGAAACTGATATGGCCATGTTGTCCAGAAACTTGCATTCCGGGGAGTCATGAAACTGACTGCCAAGTGTGATGATGTACTAGTATTGAATTTTAGACTAATTACTCGACCATGGAACTAAATAGAAACAAGGTATAACAATTGATATCATCATTAATTAGAAACCATATTTTGATCACCTGGAACTCTATAAATTAGTTCACATGAAGCAGACTCATGAAAATGTTTTTTTGTTTGTTCGGGTTCTGAAATTGAGTTTTGATAAAAATCAATGAAACAGATAAATGAGATGATTTGGTGTGAAATGACTTTGGTTCAAGTGAAATGAAACAATGAAAATGAAGCAATGACAGTACATTGAATGAAATAGACATAAAGGATATTAAGTCAGTTCTTTGTTTACCTGCTTTGAAAGCTATAGAAAGTTTTTTTTCTTGGCTTGTGAGACGGATAGGAATTCTAGTGATTTATTAAATAATTTTTAACTCAGAAGTTTTGAAAAGTTGAGAAATTTGAAAAAACATGCTAAAATAGCTTAATTTATGACTCTTTTCTAGCATTTCAGGTAATAATAAGAAAGTTTATTTGTAAAATTCTGAGATATGCAATTTATCTACTTAACAAATCAAAAATAGTCAAAAAACCTTGGCTGGACCTACGTGATGATTATCTTTCATCGCCTGCATGGAGATAGCCATATATGGATAGTGATGACCATATATGGATAGTGATGACCATATATGGTTAGTGATGACCAATAAAAATGCAAATAGCAGGATATTAGATACATGTATGTAAAACAGAATGAAAATAAAATTAGAATCATGGGTAATATGCCAGGATGTTGCACTCGATAACAGGGGGAGTATAGCTCTTGGAAGAAGGGGTACTTTTGCTGTAAAAATAAGAACAAAACTGTTAGAGCAATAAAATAGTACATGCAACATTTCTCAAAATCACCACACAAGTTACAAAAATGGAACAACAAAAAATATGGTATTCAACATTCTATGAACGAAGAATATAAACTGCTGGTACACATTTAAAATGTCATCGAGTTATTCTGTGTTTGAACAGCATATGATTTCAAGAAACAGCAATAAATAATATATGAGTGGGAAATATGGTACCATAAACTTTATAAGTTTACAAACTTAACCCAACAAATACTTTCCTGGTGTTGTGCAATACCATATGATTCCCCATGAATAGTTTGAATATTACTAAATAAGGTTCCCCAGGTTAATGATATTTATCAATATGGCATATTTGTATTGATGAAAGTAATGCATGTACATGTAGCATTTACTGCATGACCCCTCAACTCAATTACATTTCAGTAAAGCAACCAACACACAAGCACAATGATTTTTAGCCCATAACTATAGCAACATGAGTACGCCACAAAGCACAGCATCACATGACCTAATATTTAAATGATGTCCTAAGAACATTTAGACTTTTTTATTATTTCTAAATTTTTGTTTCTGTGAGTACTTATCTTGTAGAATGAAAAATATTGGTACATGGTATTTGTTTCAAAGATTAAGCCTAAGTCGCAACCCTAATTTTAATGGTAGATTTTTGTCTAAGCTTTGTGATGATTTTTTGCACTGGTATGCTTAAAACAAGGCTCTGATTCACAGAGTTCTCCTCTACAATTACCATACATGTAGAATGGTAGGCTGCCAGGGCACCATCCCACTGGTTACTCACTCTCCATACCAGCTGCAAGACATTGACTCTAAAGTCAGTGTGTGACTGTGATGTTGATTGGCTGATAGCACGCTGCTAATCTAAATAATAACTTTTTTAACAATTCAATCATTTTTTATATCCTGTTTTGTGTTTTTGAAGTGATATTTTCTAAGTGTCAAATAAATTATTATTAATCTGAATAAGTTAATTTTTCCTAACAAAGAATAACAAATGTATGTGATTCCTGACGAGTTATATCAACTGACAGTTGCCATAGTGATGAAAGTGCTACAACATCATCGCAAAGAATTGTCATGGTCTAAACTTAGCAGCAAGACTAGTAGGGTGTGGGTAACCAGTGGAATGGAATGCCATTGACTCTAGATAAACGTGAACTTTGAAAAGCACTTCAGGACCAGCACATGGTTAATTAAACAATGGTCAATCATGGATGAATTGCATTAAGTCCCTTCATGATTTAAAAAAAACAAAGTTTGATGAACTGATCTCAAAACACAATCTCTTTTTCATTCTTATTCAGGAATTATCAGCAGGATGGATATTGCGTAAACTGTTCAATTTTGTATCGTAATTTGAAAATCCAAAAGCATATAAAAGACTAAATGCAAAATACAGACTCAGAAGTATCGCAAAGGTCATGACTCACCTGACTGATTTCAGTTAAATAGTTCTTTCTTTCATCGTTAGCTTTGTGAAATGCCTAGATAAATAAATAAATAAATAAACATACACAAGTCAGTAATATGCACATGTGACTTTTCCAGTGTACCGGTAATGTCAGAGGTTAATTATTCACTGGGTTTTAATTTCGCTCATTTCGCTGACTGGAAAATGCACTAAATTAATTAAAACCCAGTGAATATTTAAAAGTTAACATAGAACACATTATATAAATGATAAAACTGTGAATTTAAAACCCACTGAATATGCCTGAAATGGTAAATCAGCAAAATTTAAACCCAGTGAAAATTAGTCATTTTACAGTATATACTTTAAGTTGTGGATATACGGAAACACCAAGCCTGTCAAATCTAGATAACATTATCTAAAATTCACGAACTGTCTCATTAAAAAAGATTGCATAACAACTGGTTTTACATTTTTTTTTAAATATTACTGTGAATGTCCACACATAGGAATGAAAGCAAGCATCTTTAATAAGCCTTACCTTGGATTCTTGGTCCAGTCTCCATTCATAGTCTCTCATTTGACTATCCAAACTAAGTTTATCCCTGTCAAGTCGCCGTATAAGTTTTTTAAGAGCTGCCTGCAGAAAATTAAAAAAACAAAACAAAAAGATTATTTTTTATGGCAATATTTGTGTCTGCATTTCATCTGATTCACATGCAGCACTCTATAATTATCTCAGCTCTGTTTTTAGAACCACTTCATTCATATTCATTTTGATTTATTTTATATCAATCATATATATTATATTGTATACAATAAATTTTAGCTATATCGTTTTATTATTTTGTAATTTGTTGTTGTTTTTATTACATACAGCTTATTTGTTTTATTTCAACAATCACTGCATGCCTTTATGATTACCGTAACTTTAAAAAAAATACTACCAAATAAATATTAAAATAAAATACATATTTAAATAGAAATAAAACTCAAATAGTATTCCTCAAACTGGGATACTATTTAATCAGATTGAAATCATATATCAAGTAAAAATAACCAACAGACATTTCCACTGTCATTGTCCTCCTTGGCAGATGTTGTAATTTATTGAAAACATTAACCATAATGATCTCCTCTAACTGATCTTTATGGGTTGTAAACTTGTTTATGGCAGCATTTGTTTACATTCTTTTAATAGTTTGTGTAATGGCAAAGATCGGATATCACTAGCCTATAATGATTTCATATCCTTTCACTTCTAGGGACAAATTTTGAGACTTTTTAAAAAAAAAAATATGTACATTCTTGTAAATTTTGATTGAAATTTGAAAACATTTGTCACTTTGGAACAACATTTAAATAAAATATAAAGCAAATAGAAATATAATATAATTGGAATCGAGGGAGGGCATGATGTGCGTCAAAAATATACATATTGAGAAAAAATCAAAACACAACATATACTTTAAAACCAACAAAACAAAACAAAATTGGGGACTCAAAAAATAATTGCCATCATGCAAAGATCTACGACCTGAATTCACCCTTCCTAAGTGGCCCACCCTTACCGAGTTTTGTCCTTGTCTTATTGATAGGATGGGAAGACTACTAAGCTCTACAGTTACACATAATCACCAAATGTGAGCGATTAAAATGAACCTGTTTTGAAAACAACAAAGGCTACTTTAATCACCAGATGGGGACACAGTTAATAGCGTACGGTGGTTGTCCTCGCAGTGTCCCTACTTAACCTGAGTCACATTTACCATTTAAGTGTAAGTACTTAAAAGCATCTAAGTTAAAACTCTGTGAAAATGTTATAAAAGCAGGAACACGGGGTAGCCATTAGGTATATCTTTAAATGCATCATGTAATATTCAGTGCTATTCAGATGTTGTGGTATTCACCACAACAATAGAAACTGAACACAAAGCCATTTCAAAGGCATTGTGTAACTGAAGCAGATTGAATTAACATTTTTTTACGGCTATTGACAAAGGGCCATTGTCTGAAGTGTCTAGTTATTTTGAAACGTTACTTAGAACAACGATTACCAAATGTCACCTACTATATACCATTAAAGCATCATGGTTGACTGAACTTAATTGTTCATCAACTGAGCTAAGTACAATGCATTCTGGGATTATTTTTTTTTATAATATTAGCAAATCACTAAATGAAACTATTTAAAAAAAAAACAATAATAATATATGAATTTCTGACACAGCAAAAGTTTCTAGACATAAGGAATAATAGAAACCAATGTTAAAGATCAGTGCTTGTTACGCCACGTATGTGTGAGATTTGTGTTGACAAACAATGATTTTCCTAAAAGCAAATGAACCCTGTGGTGAGCATAAATACTAGATTTGTGGTAAATGCCATTTTACCTTCTTAGAGTCATTAGCTGCATTCCAGTCATCCTAGGAATTACCTAGCGAAATCATAGTGTCTCTTTTTTCGTAGGCATTGATCTAAGCAACAATCAAAGTGGCCATCTTTGTTGATTTGAGACCCATATTTTGAACACACATAACATGATACCCATCTCGTTTTAAAGATAAAGTGAACATCTTGTCAATTTCATAAAATTATTTTCGGTATTCAAAACAACATTTAATTTTCAATTCAGTGAAAATCACTTTAACACAGCAAACACATACCAAGAAATTTAATGAATTTAGATAAATTTATACCATATATTGACATGAGCACAATGTAAGCAACATAAGCTATGATATCTTTCTGATTCATTGCGGTGCTTAACTTTAGAACCAAACTAACTTGATGTTTATATATAACATGTATCTTGAAAGAAAGAAACAAACATGGTATTGTGTGCTTAGATTTGATTCTAGACACCAATACTGTCCATATCATCCTACAGAGATTCTAAAAGTTTTAGCGGACCAGTTAACATACTGTAAAAGGGTTAATTATTCACTGGATTTTAATTGTGCTTATTTCGCTGATTGGAAAATGCGATAAATTATAACCCAGTGAATATGTAAAATTTAGCATAGAACACATTATCTATATGATAAAACCTTGAAATGCTAAATCAGCGAAATTTAAACCCAGTGAAAATTAGTCATTTTACAATAGTCAAGTAAACAACCAATAAACTATTCTTAATTTGCAGCTTATGTTCTGTTTAGTCTAAAATCACTCAACATCACAATATTTAGTAGAAAATCAAGTATATGATATAATTTCTTTTAAGGCTTATTGTAAAACCATTTCATTAGCATTTCTCTTCACTATTTTGAGATTTTGAACTTGGCAGGGAAACAATGAGTTCTACTGTTATTTTACATATTCAGGTGGATTTTAATTTAGCAGAATTTACTTATCAGCAGAAATTGGGTAATTAAAAACCAGGGAATAATTAATGCATTTACAGTATATTATTTTTTACTGATAATAAATTACATTTTTTTAAAAATGTACAAATGCCAATGACACTGTTTTGACAAAACTGTTCTTGTCAAATTTCAACATCATCTAATTTGTACGGTTTTCAAAAGTTAAAATATAAAAACCAAAGTCCAATATGTTTGAATCAGAACCGTATACCAAACTCACTTTATGTCACTATGAATCAAAATGAATATGAAAAATATATTCAAATGGAAAAACAATCGGCACAAAATTTAAGCAGAATAACACTACAGTTATTAAAGGGGAACTAAATAGAGCCTATTTTGGTGTTTGTATTTATCAAGTTATGTATATTGATTATAAATTTGAAAAAAAAAATAAAAAAAAATGATTATCTTCAGAGTTATGATGATTTAAATATGAGAAACCATAAACCTGCGAAGGACTTCCGTTTGCGCCATCTTGCCATAAAAAAACGCCCTCATGAGGTATAAACAGGTAATGTAACAAAGCATGATGACGAAATAGTATCTGATTAAATATAAGCAACTTAGGGAGCCATAGCTGGCTGGACTGGTGAATTGACTTCTAGTCTAGGTTGTTTCGACTTTTACGTTAATGTTATTTACAAATACTGCACTGTGCGGCGTGCAAATTATTCAAAGTATGGATGCTGGAGTATGCAATCTTGAGTTCGTAGGGTGGTGGTGGAAACATTTTCGTCCATGTATTCACGGGGCTGCACTGGCAAATCATGGGACAAGTGTCACAGGAACACCAAGCAGATTGTTCACAGACTTCCGTGTAATTTGAAATAAAACTTTCATCCG